TGGTTATGGTTAAGCCAACATTATATTATTTTATTGTAGAAAGGTCACTAATGATGTACGAAAAACCCAGTGGACACATTTGTTGCTCATTATCCTGATTTAGTTTTGCATTTAGCCTTATTACATATGCTCACATTTGATTGTGACATCAAGACTGGAGCAAAAACAAGTTATCTTGCATTGTTGGTTCAATTCATGTCTATGTAAAAAAAAATGAGGTTGTTATAATGAGCTGATTTTTGTTAGTGATTAACTTTTTTTGCACATGTAAATGTGCTCAGTGAGCAAGAAGGCTTGACTGATCTGTCTCAGTCAACAACAGAGAGCGGCTAAAGACGAACAGATGTTTGCTGTTAGTTGTGAGGCCTTTCTTCTCAGTCGTTGATTTTCAACAGTTTCTTCATTCAAAACCCATATAATATATAAGACAACAACATTGTTATGGATTTGGGGTAGACTATGAGAAATCAGCTTACTGTAAGCATGTCTGGAGGAGGTCGGGAAATAGTTTAAAGCTGTTTGTAGCAGGTCAGGATGAGCATCTGTGGAGTGTTTATAGAGAACTTGGTGGAGTTTGCGGACAACACTAAGTACTGGATTTTTGTAATATTACAGTATATTTTGCATTCCAAGTCTTTAATATTTCATCACAGAACAAAGTACTCATTACAAAATATGTTTGCTAGAAGTTCCTAAGAAGTGTTTTACCCCTGAAGAAATAAATAGCTGTTTTAACAAGTGTTTAAAAGTTATGCATGTGCTCCACTGTCATATGACTTGTTTAAGAAGCATGAATCACTTATCTACTAACCTTGTTAGGTGTCAAATCATGCATCAGTTTCTAAACACGTATGATACTGTTAATTCTGTAGTATACTGTGGAAATCTTTTCTGGCATATTGAATAGTCTCTATAATATATGTTTGAGTGTTTTCTGTTGGTGCTTGTAGTAATACAGACTGCAGTATGACTTAATCCTGTGCTCAGAAACGCTGCTGTATTTGGCAATATTCCTTCCATTCCTTAATCCCAAGACTTTTACCAACCAAACACAGAGAAATCCCTGGAGCTGTCTGAGCTCAACACTGCTCACCTGCCGACAACCGCCTCACAAGGTCACACTGCTGGCCAACACTTTGTGGATTTTTCTTTCTTTTATCAGTACCTCACATTTTGCAGGATTTTAGAAACCCCTTAGTGAGTTTAGCCGCCGTGCAAAACACTATCTTGATTTGAAATCGTATATTTTGCCCTAGAAATCTTATAATAATGTGTTGTATAGGTGTTGTATAAGGTGTTGTATAGCCTTCAAAACAATGGACAGAAAAAAATGGATTAAGTTTGTATCCAGTATTTTAGGAGCTAATTGGAAGAAATAGTGTTCTCATGAGACAAAAAGATACAGAACAGCACTCGCACCTAATACATTATCACCTAATGAAAACCCACAACTGTAATTTCACTGTAGTTTTTACATGATGGATATCCATAATAATGACCTGTTATATTTTCGACATATTTTCCCGCAACATATTTTCCGATGCGCTCTCTGTCCGCTGGTGGGACTGTACTCACCTGTGTAGGGCCCTATGAAATACGTTTTAGGCCTATTTTTTCCCAAATTCCATTTTATGTTTTTTCCAAATTCATTTTTTTTCCGTTTTAGTTTTTCTGGATTCTGGATTTTCTGGATTGAATAATTAATTAAACCAAATTCTCAAATTAAACCAAAACCTTTAAATGTCTGTGTGATATGAGGCTAGTTTTACTCAAATGAAACTGTAAAATGCTCTGTAAAGTGACTCTCAGAGCAGTTCTGGAGATGTTGTTCATGTATTTATGTCCTCATTTAGTGAGACGGCAGACTCTGAAATCACCGCGAGCGTCACGTGCTTCAGTATGTGTGTAGTAAACAAAACCGCGGGTCTGCGTCATTCATTAACACAGACACGCAGAACATGCAGGATTCATGTTTAAATAGTCTTTTTGTGGCTTAATATTTACAAATACTAGTCCATATTTAAGTGTAATCACCTACTTTTGATTAATTAATTTAAAGTTTGACAAATTCCGTGACATTCTGCGTTATACAGTAAATTCCATTTTTATGAGTAGATTCCGCGATTCCGTCCGCGTGTGTGCGCGCGATACAGAGAGCAGAGGAGAATTGTAAGCGCGCGACCATATCGGTTATTGGCTAATAGTGGGCATTTCATTAAGCACTGTATTACTGTATTTCCCCAATTTTTACATTGAGATTTCCTTTCCATTTTTTAACACTCATTTAAAGTACATTTTTAAAAGCACTAATAATTTAGTAACAGCATTAAATATAATCATTAGGCAAAATAGTGTAGAATTTTACTGTTGTTTATTTATTTGTTATTTAATCCCACATTTACACAGTATACTATGAACATTTATGGATTAATAGAAGAATCAGATATAAGTGTTTATTATCTGATATCATAAATGTTATTTAATTAAGAACCACTTAAAGTACCCAAAATCTGATTTCCTATCTATCTGTGCCACATTGTAGTTTAAAATGCCATTCTTGCAAAGATTTGTTGCATTAATAGTTGTTGGGGTGAGCTGAAAAGTTTGTTTTGCAACCACATTTTATGCCGAGCCAAAAGTTCTAAATGAGAAAGTAAGTCAAATACTAACTGGGGGGATTTCAGCTTTTCACGCTCACAAGTCACAATACAAATATAATCCTGGGTTTCAAATGCAAAACCTCAGCACAGAAAATCCTCTTGTGTTACTTCTAGAGTTGGGACACAATTTACCATTGAATTGAGCACTGAAACAGCAATCCCTAATGACGAACACCAAATACATGTTTTCAATTCCTTTTTGTTCATTCTCAAGCATTTATTGAGGAGCCATGGTGGATTGAAATAGAATTGCTTTTTTTTGATACAACATGTTTTTAGTTTTATTTATTTATTTATTTTCCAGCCATGTCCTGCTATATTAGAAAAATGGTTGGGGTTTTTTTGAGAAGGAAAGCTTTTGAGCAATGATTGAAAGAGGTGGGAATATCCAACATATGTTTGTGGATTTGAACTTGCTTCGTGCCTATTCCTCCACTCCTGTGAAAAAAATCTAATGAACGCACTGACCCATTTTCCTTTTCCTCTTCCCCCTCCCGGTCCTTTCTGCCCCTACGTTTCAGTCAAGCAGTGTTATTCAAAAAGCAGAAAAACAGCACACTAACACAATGTGTGACCTTGAAAGTTTTCATTTAGCATGGAAATCATAACTGACCCAATAGCCTGAATATAGTTTATTAATATAAACTCAGTGTTAGTGTGGTCATCTCTTGATTAACAAAAAACAAAGCGCTTAAAGAAGTGAGGCTTCCATATGGAAGATGTGACGTTTAATTAAAGACACAGTCCACCCAAAAATGAATTTTGTCATCATCTACTCATCCTCATGTCATTCAAAACCTGAAAGATTTTCCAGGTATTTTGAATGTTTTAGGTGTTTTTGTCCACATAATGAAAGTCAGTGGGGTCCAAAACAACGCCATTGGACCCCACTGACATTCAATGAGAGAAAAAAAGAAAAAAAAAACACTGAGACATTCTTCAAAATATCTTTTTTTTTTGTGCTCCACAGTTGAAAGAAAGACATATGCTTTTGGAACGAAATGAGGCTAAGTAAATGTCAGAATTTTCATTTTTGCATGAACTAGGCTATCCCTTTAAGAATGCATTTATGATCATGTGATCCTGGGTGGTAAATCCTTGTGATTTAGTTTCAAAGCTGAGGTTATTTTATTTAAGACATTATAAGATTTAAAACACATCCACATGCATCATTGAATTGTTAATACTCCACCATCGCAAAAGAATTTCATATCACCCTGTTGCTGCAGCATAGACAGTTCTTCTGTCCATTTCACCATCTGTGGAAAATCCACGTGACTTTTTTTTCAGCCCCTAGTATTTTGTGCACTTGAATTAAAGAGCGTATGAATGCATGTATGCTGAAACAGGAGGGGGTGTTAACATGCTTCAGCAGTGCCCTGAAAGTTTCCCAAAAGACTGCGATGAACAGCTGGGTTAACTGGGACTAGTGCCAGAGGCCCGGCCGGGGCACTTCAGAGAACAGAGCAATTGAGCCACGTAAGACTGCAGCCCGGATGCCGGCGGGACTGACAGGCAGAAAGCCGAAATCAGAGTGTCGCTGCCTTCATGCTGCTAGAGAAATGCGCATTGTTAATATTAGTGGGATGTAATGCGTAAAGTGGCTCATGTGCCATAATAGCTTCATGTCATTGATTTGAAGTCTCAGGCTAGTTACAAGGTTTTTATTCAAGGGATAGTTCACCCAAAAACAAAAATTGTCATCATTGAAGTTGTTTCAGAGGTTTTTTTTTCTTCTTTTTCTTCTTCTGTTGAGCACAAAAGATGGTGCTTGAATGATGGTTAAAAAAATAATAATTAAAAATATGGCTGCCGTCAAATTTTTTGGTTACCAACATTTTTCAAGACATCTTTTTGTTAAGAGAAAAAGGGTGAGTAAATGATGACATATTTTCTGTTCTGGTTTCTTGGTGTTTGTGCTGGCTGACTGAGACATATACTGTATGAATCTAAAAATGAACAATATCCATCTATGTGGTCCTGTGTTCAAAATGTGTGGTCCTGGTCAACAAAAGACCAGAAATTGTGGGAACAGGATTTTGAAGCTTTAGTACCTCAGGCGCTCTATGGGCCATGACTATTCATTCTTGTTGTCTCTTGGACCATTTAGGGGAGACTGTAAAGATGAATCAGTAAATAACATACAGTATTGTATGAAAGAATGCATAAACGAGGTCTGTGGATGAGTTATTATCATTATGTAAGCAGGTCCGTATAGACTTGAATAGTTCTGAATAAAAATAACAAACCTGTCAAACCACATTAAGAGTGTTGTGTATTAGTTTGCTGTAATTTATGTCAAATTAAAGAATTCATCTCCTTTCTTCTCTCTTCTCTCAGGAGTTTGCTACCCTGACTAAGGAGCTGAATTTGTGTCGAGAGCAGCTTCTAGAAAAAGAGGAGGAGATATCTGAGCTTAAAGCAGAGAGGAATAATACCAGGGTGAGTATGTGTTTGTGTGTGTTAAAGTGACAGGACATCCCAATACAATCGGTACAGTCCAGACGGCTGTGTTTTGTCCCAGTATTTTGTTTTGATTGCTAAAAGTGAAGGTTTAAAACTAAAAATCATACTTTTTCTGTCATGGAAAAAGTAGCTGCAGAGCAATGTGAAAATTCTTAACCGTAAATGTGGTGCTTTTCAAATATTATCTTTAGCATAAATCAGCTATTGTTAGGATTATGTCCACTACTGTTCAAAAGTCGTAGGTCAGTTTTGGGTCATTCAGCAAAATGAAAATTCTGTCATTAATTACTCACCCTCATGTCGTTCCGAACCCGTAAGACCTTTCATCTTTGGAACACAAATTAAGATATTTTTGATGAAATCCGAGAGCTTTCTGATCTTTCATAGACAGCAATGGAACAACCACGTTCAAGGCCCAGAAAGGTACAGTAGTAAGGACATCGTTAAAATAGTTCATGTGACTCTTGTGAATGTCGAAGACTGACACGGAAGAGAAGAAATTGTTGAATAAAGTCATTCTTTTTGTTTTCTTTGCACAAAAAATGTTCTCGTAGCTCCATAAAATTAAGGTCGAACCACTGATATCACAGACTCTTTTATCGATGTCCTTACTACAGGGCTCCAGACTGCGACCAAATGGTCACATTTTGTCACCATTTTTTCTGCCAGTGAGAGTAAATTTTGTGAGCGGTCCCACTGGCGTGACATCCGCGTTCTTCAACTCGCATTGGCATTTCTGTTGCATATGAGATACATCAAACGGCAAACTAAACAAAAGCATTAACAAAATCCCGCTACTCATTTGAGCTGCGCAGCGCGGACCGTTTATCAGCTCAGACCGCGATGCAAGCAAAATAGTCCAAGCTTAAAACAGCTTTACTCGGGAACCAAAGTTGATTTCGCAACACTGTTATGGCACAGCGTTGCGAGATCCAGTGAGAAGCGTTTGAATTCGCCACAGAATGAGTAAAGATTGCTGTGAGATCTACTGAGAAGCATTCAAATTCTGCACAGAAATCTGTTATAAACAGATCAAACAGCACTGATGTAGAAAACCAGAAGTAGTAGTAATACTAACTATAACCATAGTGTTGTGGCAGTAATAGTCGAATGTTATTACATTATTCATTTCAGGTTTGTACAGCCTTTTGAGAGAAATTCAAGCAATTTTCAATGACTGAAAAGTATTTCACACAACTGTTTCCAGCACTTTAAAGCTCCAAAATTTGAATGTTAATTTCAATGGGATGACCAAAATATACTGTGGTGAACAAACTTTAAAAATACATAAAATCACCATTATAACCTGTAGATGGCAGCAGAGGAGCACTTATAGGCTTATTAGTCATTCATTTATACTTTTTAATTGATATTTTGAAATGATCACTTAAGTTGCTGGTCAGTTACATATAAGACTATAGAAGGATAATGGTACATTTATTAAGAGTACAATATATACCTTTTCTACATAAAAATTAGATTTTGCACGTTACTGTTGCTAGTAAAATAAATTCTGTAAGCTTCCCAACTCAAGCTTAGTGCTTTACTGTCAAATGTGTATAAATATGACATAAGAAATGAACATGTAATATTATTAGTAACTGCACCTATTAATGCAAAACAATAGTAATTTTATCATATCATATATTTGTCATATCCCTCTTAAATTAAAAGAATATTGCACATTGTAATTTCTATGAGTTAAGTATATTTATTATCAAAACGTTTGTCAGTAATACAGTTAAAATGGGGAAAATATGTGAACGATTGCATTGCAGGCTGATTTAAGGTGTGCCCCTAAATGTTCTGCTTGTGCTCCTAAAAATGTTCAGTCAGGGGCTACAGTGCTCCTATTAAAAATAGTTGGTCTGGAGCCCTGCCTTACTACCTTTCTGGGCCTTGAACGTGATAGTTGCATTGCTGTCTATGGAGAGCAGTGCTCTCGGATTTGTGTTCAGAAGATGAACGAAGGTCTTAAGAGTGTGGAACGACATGAGGGTGAGTAATTATTGACAGAATTTTCTATCCCTTACAATAAATCAAAATGTGACAGTAAAGACATATATAATGTATATATTCTATTTCAAATGAATGCTGTTCTTTTGAATTTTCTATTCATCAAAGAATCCTGAAAATATGTATGATAACTATAACAAATGTTTCTTGAGCACAAAATCAGCATAGAATGATTTCTGAAGGATCATGTGATGCCAAAGACTGAGTAATGGCTGCTGAAAATTCAGCTTTGCCATCACAAGAATAAATTACATTTGAGAATAAATAGAAACTAAATTGAAAACAGTTGTTTTAAATTGTAATTATATTCCATAAAATTACTGTTTTTACAGTATTTTTGATCAAATAAATGCAGCCTGAGTGAGCATAAGAGACTTTCAAATACATAAATTTTTTTTTACCAAACCCAGACTTTTGAATGGTAGTGTGTGTTCTAGGGGAAGACTACTCATTTTTAATAGTCAGCAAATAGTTCTCCCGAAAATTAGTCTGTGGGTAAATGTTTATGTAAATGCTTTGCCATACATTGTGCCGCATCAGCGGTCTTTATGTTTCTGGCAAGGCCGATGCTGTGAGATTGTGTGAATGGAGAGGATGTTCACACAGCTGAGATGATGCGGGTGAGAAATGGAAGTGTGCATATCTCCATTGCTAGATTCATGCTGCTGCATTGTCATGAACGTTGCAAAAGATGTTGATTCGCTTGTAGATTCTCTCAGCCCCTAGGCCACACTTGACTCACTTCAGGGGGATTTGCTTGTTCGTTCGGCTTGTACGGTATGTGAGCAGCCCAGATGAACTCAGGCCATCTATTGTCGCAGTGCCAGTTTGTTTCGCTTACAACATGCTTTTCCAATGTAAAGCACCCAAAGTTGACTATATATTCACTCTTGAGTGATTCTGAAAATGTACTGGGCCATTACATGTTACTATGCAGAGCTTATGAGTAGCAGTAATCACAACTGAAGCACAATTGAAATCATATTATCCAGAATGATAGTCGATAGATATGCTTGTTTGTTTCTGCTGTTCTTTAGCTTCTTTTGGAACACTTGGAGTGTCTGGTGTCACGTCACGAGCGTTCGCTGAGGATGACTGTGGTGAAGAGGCAGGCTCCTCCGCCGTCCGGGGTTTCCAGTGAGGTGGAGGTGCTCAAGGCTCTGAAATCGCTCTTCGAGCATCATAAAGCTCTGGATGAAAAAGTGAGAGGTTTTTTTTATTATTATTCATTTTGTCTTGTAATTAGGGCTGCATGATATTGGAAAAAACTGACATTGGTATATTTTGTTTTCCTGCGATATGAAAAATACAGGAATTTTCACCGGATGACTTAAATAGTTGAATCATTGCTCAAGTGATTTTGTTGGAGAGTGCATCTGCATAGAAAATAATAATTAAAAAAATTGAAGTGATTTTCATTCATTTTTTAAGTGTGAAATAATTTTAGGGCTGAATGGTTTGGAAAGTACTTAAAAAAAATTTTGTTCATACTTTGATTCCACATTCCCACTGTTTCTGACCAATTCAATATGACTATAAAATAATTCTTATTATAAAATAATGAACAAAATAAGAAATATATTTCAATAATATGGTAATAAAAATCTAATTTTAATTCACTTTAATATGAAGTACAAATATTTACATCTGTAAATGTAAAATGTAAATGTAAATTTACATTTAATTAAATCACAGCCATCGCGATTTGACAATCGCACTAAGCTATACTGCGATATCGATTTTATTTTGATATATCTCGCAACCCTACTTGTAACATTTTAAAGAAACAAATAAATGCTTTTCATTAATGCAAAGTCAGTCTGACTATGTAACATTAGTAGTTAATCACATGACTGGAATTGGAATGAATGCTGACAGGGCTTTGTTGGCACATGTAAATTTGGCTATTAAAGCCTTTTTTGTTTTTCATTTTGCACAGGTGCGTGAAAGGTTACGGGTGGCTCTTGAAAGGGTGACTACATTAGAAGGACAGCTGGTAGCCGCCACTCAGGAGGTACGGCCGTTTTTTTTTTTTTGTGTGTGTGTGTGTGTGTGTGTGCGTGTTTAGGTATGCATGCACACTGGTATGGATTTGCTGATCTCATTAACATCTGTCCAATGAGCACCTGCCCCCCGCTGTCAACCCATGCAGGAAATGCACGCAGCCTGTTTCCATCACTCACATGCTGCTGAGAGTTCAAGCAAAGCCAATGCACTTGACATGCTTTAGATTTACACGCTTTCAGAACTGCACTGGAACAAAAACTTTTAAATGACAATTTAGACTGACAGTGTCAAACAGGCAACTTTTATGCTATATGTTTAACACAAAAAGTTTACAAAATAGAATTAAAGTTTACAAGATGGCATTTAAGTTAAAAATTAAAGGGATAATTCACCCAGAAATTAAAATGCATTATTTACTCTCCTTCATGTTGTACCAAATCCAAAAGACTTTCATTCATCTTCGGAACACAAATAAATATATTTTTAATGTTCTCTCATAATGTTTCCATCCATTGAAAGTCTATGCAGCTGCAGTGACTGCAAATAGCAACTCAAATATATTCTTATTGTAAATAAAGAAGAAACTGTTGTTAAAACTGGATGATGGGCATTTTGTAAAAATAAACAAATAAATAAATAAAAAGGTAATGTGATTACTGAAATATTATAATGTAAGGTACAAATAATGAGTATGAATGGCAGGTGAAATTTATATTTAGTTTTTTTTTCACAAATGTTACATTAATTGAAATTGGCAACACAAAATTAACAAACAACAAATATATATATA